TAAGATACCTCGGAGTCTAACTTCTCTATGGATAAAGGTGGGCTGTATGAGCTAAATAAGTTCAACATCACTGATCGTCCTTACTGTCTGTGGAGCTATGTGATGAACACTGGGTGGACAGTCTGAAGGTTGACTGTGGGCTTCTCCAAGGTTAGTTGTTTACACTGGTTTGTACTGGTCTGGGAAACGTTTGGAAATTCATAAATGAATGTATGACACACTAAACTATTTAGTTTTGTATGTAGTAATATTATTGTGTCTATTACAGCTACTACTAATGTTATACTAATTACTACTGCTGCTATAAATAATAAAAGATGCATGTAGACACATACTTCACCTGATTATGCTTATTGTCATCATTGTTATTACTGTATTATAATAACCCGAAGCACCAGCCTGCACCTCTACACTCACTCATTTGTGTTGTCTGTTGTTATTTATGTGATTATTGGTGTCAAAACATGAAAAGTGAAACGACACCAGGACGTAACATTACACAGACAACATGACAGAAAGGACTTTCAGTGAGAACCTGACTCTGCCAACGCTGCACTGCAGTGTGAAATAAATGCACGCACATGAAGATACAACACACATTAAAAGTATACATATACACACACATACACACACACACGTGTGTGTTTGATCAATTACAGATGTGGAGCCCTTAACCCCCCCTCCACCACACAAAGCACCAGGGCAGCTCTCCTCACCTCGCTTTGGTTTCGGGAAGCTTTCGTGCAGATGAAAAACCACTTTCTCCACAAAGTGCTGGATGTTGCTGTGCTCTGGTCCTCGCACAAACACCATCCAGTCGTGGGTGAACCCTTCCACCGTGGGTTTCTTTCTGACCTGGGCACGATGACCAAGTTCCAGTTTCACCTGTACAGCACCCTGCAGAGCACAAAGACGCAGGGTTAGCGTTACTAAAGACGGGTCCATGTTTCGTGCAGGTGTTTGTTCCTGAAACACTGAGTCTGCTGCTGTCCAACAACGTGTGTCCCTCTGAGCTGAAGCAACAGGTACACGCTTACACACATGAGCTGCTCACACTTCAACCTTCGTGTGTCCTGCGCTTTGTTTCCTGAGCTAACGTTACACAACTGTTAAACCGTAACATGTAAGAATAAAGAGCAAACTTCTCAACAAAGTTGGCATGTCTGCGTTACCGGCCCAGCGACTGCTCTCACTGACCACAGCCGCTCTCCAACACTCTATCGGCGCATTAGCCAAAGCGTTTCGGGGGTTTCTCCCGAAAGATTGTCCTCTGTCTGTCTCTGAGGGGAATTTAACATCTCTATTATTTCATGTGGTAGCGGCGCGCTAAGTAGCAGTACAGCCCGAAAACCCTTGTTGCAGAAAAACCCACGGACCCCTCCGGTGTGCCATAAATGTCCACGCGTAGTGTTTAAACCCGAGCCGGGAACAGCAAAGCCCCGTGAGCAGCTACTTACCGAGCTGGCCATAGCTGAGGCCGAGCCTTCCTGTTATTTCATGGAGACTTCGTTTATATCAAATGAGAGGTGAGAGCAGTTTGCCTATGACGGCCGACATGGTTTCTTAGGGACTCAACTCAGACACAAGACTTTGAAAGGCTCGCCGGCTGTAAAGCGTCTGTAATGACGTGGACAGTATCCGCTTGGGGCTTTTCAAAGTAAAACACTTGCGGTAAAGATGCACTCCAGGTCCCCACATAAATAACATTCTCCTTATATATATTTCTTTAGATTTGTCTTTCTTTTGTTTCGTCTTTCAGATAATCTCCACATGTGTTTATTTGAAAAGATTCAGGTTTCTTAACTACTTTTCGACTTTGTTGTTAGCATATATACACACAGCTGTTTATAATCCCGGCGTGTATGATTTTAACCTGTATATGGATGACCCAGAATGAATCATTTTAATTAGTAAATTACTTTATTTTTTATACCGTTGCCAGCAATCCAGCTGCACAGACATTTACTTCCAACATTAAGCTGTTAATGCAGCTCCAAAGACTTCTGCACTCTGCCAGGATTAAAACTAAGCTATGCTTCTCTAATTGTATAACAATCCATCCATCCATCTTCATCCGCTTTATCCGAGGTCGCGGGGGCAGCAGCCTAAGCAAAGAGGCCCAGACCTCCCTCTCCCCAGCCACCTCCTCCAGCTTATCCGGGGGAATACCAAGGCGTTCCCAGGCCAGCCGAGAGATATAATCTCTCCAGCGTGTCCTGGGTCTGCCCCGGGGCCTCCTCCCGGTGGGACATGCCTGGAACACCTCACCCAGGAGGCGCCCAGGGGGCATCCTTGTCAGATGCCCGAACCACCTCAGCTGGCTCCTTTCGATGTGGAGCAGCAGCGGCTCTACTCTGAGCCCCTCCCGGATGGCCGAACTTCTCACCCTATCTCTAAGGGAGAGGCCAGCCACCCTTCGGAGGAAGCTCATTTCTGCCGCTTGTATCCGCGATCTCGTTCTTTCGGTCACTACCCACAGCTCGTGGCCATAGGTGAGGGTAGGGACGTAGATCGACCGGTAAATTGAGAGCTTCGCTTTTACACTCAGCTCCCTCTTCACCACGACAGACCGGTGCAGCGTCCGCATTACTGCAGCTGCAGCCCCAATCCGTCTGTCGATCTCCGGCTCCCTTCTCCCATCACTCGCGAACAAGACCCCGAGATACTTGAACTCCTAGTTAGTTGAATGCATGTTTTCACCTGTGCAATAGTAAGCGAATGTAGAGTCCCACTGCCATTCCCTATAGGTTTGGGTCTCGAATCACTGATACTGGAGTGAGATTTACAGTCTATAAAGTCTTTAAAGGACTTCAGTGGCAAAGAGAATATTTTCACACACTTACTGGATGTTAAGTCTGTTTGCCATGACTTTAAACCAATTTGTTAGGAAAGTAAAAGATCATGTAGCTATTGTGATATTAATTAGAATCAGAATACTTTATTGATCCCGAGGGGAAATCATTTAATATTAATAATTAATAATTATATTAATACTCAATATTAATAGTAATTATTAATTAATAATATTTAATATTAATTATCACTACAGTGTCATTATTTATCTTTAAATTCATTTTAATGACTGCTAACTACGGTGCACTTTATCCAAAAATTATCCAGTATTTTATTTTGAGCATGAAATGCGGTCACTTCCGTTACGGTCTTTGTTACGTTCAACAAACCTGATCGCTTTAAGAGGCACAGCGCACGCGCGGCTTGGTGTACCCGCTTGAGGCCTCAGAAAGAGCACGAGATGCAAAGAACCAATAAGAGAACAACAGATCCACAGATCTCCAATCAACTACCGGCAACCTCCCGTAAGAACGCTACGTTCAGGTCCCAAAGGAAACCTGAAGTTTCTGACTTAAAACAATCAAATGTAACGTTCAAAGTCGATCGAACTGGAGTTTACGTTTAAAATGATAATCTGATTGTTCCTGGCTAACGAAAAGAAGCAATTCAGTGAACTCCAGTTTCCCCTTTTCTGTGCATATATGTTACTAAAAAGGTTTTTTACTATACTGCATAATAACTCCCAAATTTGGACAAAATAATAAGAAAGTCTATGAAAAACCCTCTTAAGAGACAAAAACAACAAGAAGACAAAATACATGAAGACCTGCAGCTCACGCTCCAAGAAATCCAGAAAAGAAACGAGCAGTTAGAAGACAAGCACAAAGAGGTCCAACAGAGAAATGCAGACATGCACAAGGACAAGCTGATACAGGAGGCAACATCCAAACAACTCAAAGACAAGCTTGAAGAACAACAAGCAACATTGGAAGAGGTGGAACAAAGATGTGAGAAACTTGAAGAACAAAACGCAGAAACCATCGATGAGCTGAGAAATCTCATCCTGGAGAAAAAAGCGCTCGTGGAAAAGTGCATGAAAAAAAAGAGAAAATGGTTCCACTTGTTCCGGAGGAGAGACGCTACTGCTTCCTCACCTGATGTAGCCTCGTCTTGCTCCACCTCTGTTAACCCCCCCAACCAGTCCCGGCCGTTGACTGTCCCCTCCTGAGCCTGGTTCTGCCGGAGGTTCCTGCCCGTTTAAAGGCAGTTTTTCCTCCCCACTGTCGCCAAGTGCTTGCTCAGAGGGGATTGTTGGGCTTTTCTCTCCTCTGCCTTGTTTCTTCATTTACTTGTTTAACTTTTTTCAACTTATCTAAATAATAAACCAATTAAATTTATCCTTTGAGTATTTTTCATCTCATCTTTACAGAATCTTTCCAAAACATTTTCAAACATTCAGATCTGTCTTTTATTTTCTTCTTGAAGCCTCATAAATTATTTAGGCCAAATCTTTAAAACAGTGTCATTTCATACACATTTTCAATTCACTTCAATCGCACAAATGCAGAAATAATTATTTGCAGTATCTTATTTATTATGAGAATGTCATGCCTGATCATTTGTACCTACACCACCAAAAATGGGGGCAAAAGGGAGGAGATCATGTTTAATCGGTTATAAGAAAAGGTCAGAAATATAAGTGCCGACATGAGCAGCGTCCACAGAAACCTCTGACTCTCAGCTCAAAGCTCATATAAACCATTTCTACAACCAGCAAACAAACAAAGACACCGAACAGTTAAAAGAGCAGTGACGTCACCACGAATCTGTGGTCAGGTAATATCCATGTTTTGATTGATGATTTTCTGGAGTTAAATGTGAACCGAAGCATATTTTGGGTGTTATATGCTATTAAATACTTTTTAATTTATTTAAAAGTATTTAATAGCATATAACACCCAAAACATGCTGGGTGTGGAAATAAAAAAATCAGAATTTCCTCTGTTTGAGTCACAGTAACTTTGACATAGTAACATTTGCAGTAAGTCCTAAATGTTCACCTTTAAAATCACTCCCTCTGTTCATTTTGCCCACATCATGTTTCAGTGGTTGGCCTCAGGTTCTTCAGCTTCCTGACAGTCTGAAGTCAGCTGACAGAGTTTCACCTGCTAAATACACAGAAAATCTTGTTAAAGCCGCACAGTTTGCCCAACAGTAATATTCCCATTAAGCCCTTTCTAAACACTTTATAACAATGTGTCATCACTAAATTATAAACTTCTTCTCCAAATCTGCACGACTGCACTTAGTCACAGATTTATTTAATTGTCCTGCGGCTGCTATCATATATTTGACCAAACAGTTCTTCTCACACAGTCACAGATATATTTCTCTCAATGCAAACTTCACTCATGTCTCAGACAGGAAACTTGAGTTTTTCTTTTTTTCTGTCCCCACTCATTCAACTAATTTGCATATTGAGTCACATCTCGAGAAGTTGCCCTGACAACAGAAATGCATATTCAAAACATTGCTGCATAATTCAATTATTATTCTTTTATTTTTATTTCTACAGTCGTCACTTCTTTTGCTCAGTCAGCTGGAAACCACTTCTAATTCACTATTTTAAACCTGCTTTAAGCTTCTAATCACTGGTTGGTCCTCCCAGTCTCTTTTTCCTTGTCACAAAAGTCCCTCTATTGTCCTGCAACTTCCTGAGTTATTCCTCAGCTTCAGCCTTTAAGTGTGTTAAATCTACACCATTTAGCATTTATGTCATGTATTCACATTCATGAGTGTAAGCATGTCTTCATTGCGTGTATGTTGTGTGTTCATATTAATATTGAGTGTAAGCTGGTCTTCGTGGCCTCGATGTGTTTTTATAATCAGATTTAATTCCTGCATCTTTGCGCTGAACTGTGGATTCAAACTGTCTCACTTCTGATTCTCTCCAAAAATAATTTCACATGTGACAATTTCTACATGTGTGTTTTCTATTTTTCTATTCATTTATGTATTATTAGTTTATTTATTTCTTTATCTCTCTCTTTTCTTTTTTTATTTACCTTTCTGTTGTGATGCTCTGGATGTTTCTAAACCCACAAATTCAGCCTCAATGTTCAACCCAACTTTCCTCTGCTGTCACTTTAACACGTCCAGCCTTCACCTCTCACCGGGCCTCGTCCCCTCTTCTCTCAACTTCCTGTGTGGCCTCCCAAATCAAACACAGGCCCAAATCAGCTGTTTCTTCTTCTCTCTTCCTCTTTTCAGTCTTTTCTTGGCGCTTAACTCCCAGCTTGGCAAATATGAACTCAGACAGTCCCATCAGTGGTTTCACACAGTCATGTCACTGGTACACTTTCCAGCTTGTAATTCAGAGCGCATGTTTCCATCAAACATGCTGCTGGACCCTTCAGTGTTTCAGTGCATTCTTTTGCCTGCTGTTAATTCTTCAAGTCCACGGTGTTGTTCTGTCTGTCTTCTGTCTTCATCAGGAGATTAACTGTCCTTTAAGCTTCTTCTCAGGATAAGGACAGGATGAGAGGTGAAGCTGTGACATTTTAAACCAAAGCCTGTTTTCCTCCCAATTCTGTTAATCTATCATTTTTCTGCTGTATTCTTCCAGGAGGTTGAGCAAGTCCATGGGCACCTGTATTAACACACTAAGACATTTATTTCATATCATTTTCATTACTATTACTTTGCACTTTCATTCTCTAATTCCTCTGTTTTCATTTTGAAACGTCTCTCACAAGCTCACAAGCTATATTCAGACTTCCTGCTTCACTTCCTGCCAGACACACACTGCGATTGGTTTATAAAGGCCTCTCTTATTAAAATACATAAAACAATCTAATCAGAAAATAAGCACTAAGAATATATATTTATCTTGTAACATTGTTTAAGTTAATGAACAATTGTGTTGAAAACTGAGATTACAATATCAATCAAGATAATTATAATGATGGTTTTTGCTGTAATTAAACAGTCATGTGGAAATGTGGCAACCACAGAACTTTAGAGGCCTTTTGTTCAATTATGTGTGGACTGTTTCTTTAGTCTCATACACAAATTGTTCTCAGTGTCTATGAGACTGATGAAATATCCATGTGTGCTGAAAGAGACTGTGCTGGTCTGACCCCCTCAACCGAGGTATTGTGGGTAATGAAAGAGCAGATAGGTTGGCTAAAGCAGCTGTTAAAAAAGTAGACATAGATGTGCAGATACCATTGTTGAAATCTGAGGGAAAAGAATAGTTTGGACACAAAGTAAGAACTTCTGGAGAATGGCATGGGATAATGGAACAAAAGGGAGACATGGGGTACAAAACACAATAGAAGTTAAGAGGAGTAGTGGGTTAAATAGGCAGCAGGAGAATACAAACAGGTCATTGCTTTCTGAATGGTTCTCTTTTTATGATGGGGAAACATCCGACTGGGTTATGTGATGGTGTAATGCTATGGAGACGGTTGAACATGTGGTTATTAGTTGCAGG